TATTGTTTACTTAAAAGAAAACAACTTAATATTTGCTTATACAGTCTTTAGGAAACTAAATAAGAAGATGCAACTACTAGTCTAGTTTTCAGCTTGTCACACTGCTGGGTCGTGCGGTTCTAAAGTGTCTCAAATTTTACCATCAATTCATTAATTAATACTGTGTTGCTTGTGACACGTCCCATCAAAATAATGAGGCACCATTTATTATTGATGATAATTCATCTTCACATGTTTTATTCATCGTCGTTGAAGCCCGGAGGAAGGCGCTAAGGCCAGAGTTTGGTGACCTACAGTGAAAGTTCACTACATGTCTCAAGGTAAATAGGAAGACAGCCTGACAGTGTTCTTCTCCCTGGTGTGGGTTTATGGCGGGTCAGTCCCATCACGGCAGCTGATGACAATAGTGACGACTGTGATGATGAGGATGGTGACGTATGCAGACGTGCGTGTGTTTGTGTCTGTGTACTGCGATTATCTTTCGTTCTTTTTTTTTTATTCTGCTCATATGAATATTAAAGAGTGTACATTACGGTAGAACCGAGTGTTATATGACATGTATAAGACCCGCTTTATTCCCTACCCCACCCTTTTGCAAGGCTATATTTGGAGAGAGCTGATGTCACAAGTGGTTTGAGCAGAGAGCCTATAACTGTTGGAGTCGGCTTGTGTGACAGTCTGACAAACCTTGGAGAGCTCCAGTAGCAGACTGGGATCTAGCCAAGACTACAAAAAGTGAGTATTTTGTCTTTCCTATGGCTTGGATGTCTTTTTCCCCCACAGGTTTTATTTATATTTGTTAATGAGGTGCTAGAAGAAACTGACATTTATGTCAGTTTGTATATAGTAACATTTTTCTTTAAAAAATTAAAAAGGTAATATTTTAGTAATTCTATTTCTTGCATATTTTTTAAGTAAGTAAAAGAGAGGTTAGAAGATTAAGTAAAAGATTGAAATTCACAGAGCACAGGGAAATGTGTAGATGAAATCTACATTAAGTTAGATGATTCTGTGTAGTGAAGTGGAAATATAACTAAGACTGAAATGTACAAAAACAGAAAAAAAACAACTATTTATTTAAAAAATATATTATGTGTTGTTCTGTAAACAGATGTAACAGTGAGATTGCTGCTACTATTTTCATACGACTAACACAATAAAAGACTTTGTCATCATTTGAACACATATGCAGCTGATTAATTAGTAATGAAATGTTATAAAATGATGTAATTATAATCTAACATTTAAACTACTCCGCTTATATTACAAAATAATACATTCTTAATTACTTTTACTTCAAAATCAAATCCTAAAAATATTGCACCCTATACTAAAAATGCACATGGTCAGGACATGTTTGTATATTTAAAATATATTCAATGTGAATAAAATGATGCTCGCATGTTCAACATTTAAAGCTGGTGCCATTAAATTACCTAACCAGTACTGGCAAATGTACTGTCCTAGTTGAAGTAAAATTCTAAATGAATCCATCCCATATTGTTTTTGCAAAGTCAGCTCAAGTGTTCCTTCAGATTTTGCATTTAAAAGCAGCTATATTCTAATTATTATGCTGCACATTGTTGAAGTTGAAATAATGTCAGCATTTCCAGGAACAACAAACTTTGTTTTTCAGACTGCTCCTCTTTGAAAATGTCTGTTTGCTCCATTTTATGGTGGAAAAATCCCAGTATCAGATGAGTCGATGCCATGGATTTAATTGCTTTTAAAACTATTTCAAAGATTTTTTTTAAAAATGCATTTTGGCAATCTAACTATAACTTTATTGCATTTTTTCAAATATAATTTAACATAGCTTAACACTTATGTTAAACCCTGATGATGTACCTAATTTGTTGGGAGTCAGACAAAACTATCACACGTCTCACTGGCTTTCCCTGAATCACAATAAACAAATGTAACTCCTGTTGTGTTTGCAGGTAATCACGCTTACAGCATGTATCACCTCAGGGTGCCTGTGCTTCTTCTCATGCTGCTTGTGCTGCTGCACTGCATCACCGCTGCCCCAAGCTATAGGTAAGCCAACACATTCAAAGCAGAGAGCCGAGGTGCAGGAGAACTTTGGCTTTCATTTGGCTCAAATGTTGATAATCAAAGATGGAAACCAAGTGTGCTCATTTGTGGGGAAAGTGTTTCACTGTGCAGGGAGAAGTGGGGCTGGAGCTAAGTGGCCACTTTCTCTCCTTGTTCTCGGGAGTTGTGGATGCCTTCAAGAGCCTATCATCAATGTCAAATGGTTTGGCCCTTTGTCCTCTGTGATTCAGGTACTTTAGTCCCAGCTCATCCAGCGAGCAAGAAAGCGATCTCCCAGATAGCGAAGCCTGGTTGCTTCCCGGGCTAATCTCCAACCCATTTCTCAGCCTCGTGGGTACACGGCCACGAAGGGGGCTCACAGCTATGAACAGGTAGCAGCATTATTGCTTGATTTCATTTAAAAAAAAGGTGAACTCTACGAGTATTTTTGTGGTGTTTCTTAATATCTGTGCTTTTCTTAGTCACCATATAGAGAAGAGAAAGTGCAACACAGCCACCTGCGTCACCCAGAGGCTAGCAGACTTCCTGGTCCGTTCCAGTAACACTATTGGTACTGTGTACGCACCAACCAATGTGGGATCTGCCACCTACGGCAAGAGAGACCTACTGGAGCCTTCAGGCTACGTGAATCTCTAGTGCCAACTGAGGAAACTCCACAGCATTTGCAGCAATCCTCACAGCTCTGATGATATAACCAATCATGTAACAATGATTGTGAGAATGACATATATATAATGATGGCAATGATGGCAATGATCACAGACTTTTCTTGATTACTTTCTTAACTTAAGAAACAGTGCCTTTGATTTAAAACATCACTGTATATTTTTTTTTCTGCCTTTTTGTGTGTTGTGGCTTCATATGTTGTTGCACAATGGCATGATGGGAATAATAATAATAAAAAAACAACCAAACGTTAAAGTAATTCATGGGAAATAAAATAAAGGAAAAAACATGTAAAGCAATATAAAATAAATGTTATTTGTTGTTTTGATAATAAAATTGTAAAAAAAAAAATATATATATATATTTTTTAAAACCTTTATGCGTTTTAAGCCACGTTATTGTATTAGAGCTGCACGCAGGAGCTGTGAGCTGTTAGCATCCATCTGATGAGTACAGAAAACGTTTTCTTTCAGGAGATGTCCATTAATCAAATAAAATTATTTCACTTTGATTATGAGCAAACTCTGAAAGTTGCATTTCCACTGGAATAAACTTAAAAATGAAGAAGCCATCCTATTTCACGCAGCTCCATAACACCAAGAAATAAACTACTCACGTTTGCCATAACGTCAAGCTTTCATGAGGAACGCAACAGCCAAAGAAACTCAGGAAATGCTGATAATTCAGCCCCAAATTCAATCTCATCTTTCACTCTCATCACAAGCAAACAATGGTTCAGCATTTTGAGAATAACACTTGTTCACTTTCTTGCTAGACAAGATAAACACCACTTTCATTTCTGTAAAACAAGTCGTATATGTTGCTGACGCAAGCAAATGATAAGCTCAAGACACACAAAACAGGGGAAGCGGTAGGAAGTTCTGAGGGACTTTTAACACTAAATAATTAGCCTGACTTCCTGGTATTATGAAATGCAGAAGCTTATGAGGTACCATTTTCTTCAAGTCATTTTTAGTGCCTGTTATTTGAGTCCATATCAAACCAACTTTGCACATCAATGTCATGAAGACGATGTATCCCAAAGCATCCAAAAAGTACCTTAAGTGGCGTGCTATGAACTCATCGGCCACCGTATTATCTACACCTTCTTAGTCCTTCGTTAAAGCCACTTTTTTTTCTCTTCATGGAAGAGATTCAATGAGTTTCTGGAAACATTCCTCAGAGTTTCAGGCCCATATCGACATGACAGCGTCACACAGTTGCTGCAGATTTGTTAGTTGCACATCCATGATGTGACTACACCTTTTCACTATACTGTTTAAGTACAGGGAACTCATTGTCACGTTTATGAAACAAGTTTGAGATGATTTGTGACATGGTGCTGAAAACAGCTATCAGGAGATGGCAGCACTGTGGTCATACAGGGATGGACATGACCAGCAACAATAGTCAAACTGTGGTGTATAAATGCTCAGTTGGTACGAAGTGTCCCAAAGTTTGCTACACCATTACAACACCAGCCACACTGATACGGGGAAGGATGGATCCATAGTTTGATGTTGCTTACAGCAAATAATTGAGACTCATTAGACCAGGCAAGTTTATTCCAGTTTTCCAGAGTTTAATTTTTGTGATCCTGTGGGAATTCCAGTCTCAGCTGTGACAGAAATAGTACCCAGTGTGGTTTTCTGCTGCTGTAGCCCATCTACTTTGTGACTTGATGTGCTGTAGTGCATACATAGATATTCTACTGCATACCTTGGTTATAACAAGTGGTTATTTGAGTTCCTGTTCCCTTCCTATCAGCTCGAGGCAGTTTGGCCATTATCTTCATTTTCACCCAGAGAACTGGATGTTTTCTGTTTTTCAGACCATTCTCTACATAAATCCTAGAGATGGTTGTTTGGGACCATCCCAAAGAAAAAATTCAGACCAGCCTCTCCCGTCCCAACAACCATGCCACTCTCACAGTCGCTTTCATATTTATTCTGATGCTCGGTTTGAACTTCAGGAG